GATGCACAGGGGAGGGGGGGACAGCAGGATGGGTGTGCGGCGGAAGGGGGGTTGGGCCTTGTAGTGGTTTAGAGGGCCTCCGGGTAGGTTTGGGGACTGGTGCCGGGGGGTTGGTCCAGTGATGGGTGCCAGGCCAGTCAGTGTTGGTCTTATTCGGTGGTAAGAAGGGTGTTTCAGGGGTTGGGGGATTTTTTTTGAGGGGGGCTTGAATGCGCAGGTGCGTAGGGCCACATGTCCGAGCCCCCGTGCACCATTTCAGTTTTTTCTGAAAGCAAGGGAGCAGGCCGGTTTTGCGTTTAACGTGAATTCAACGGGAGTTTTTCAGTTTCACTGGGATTCAACGGGAGTTTAAATCCCCCATTCCCCATTAAAAAGACAGTTCATATATATATCGTCAAATAGAACTGCCCGGTAAACCGATATATATATATATATATACATATATAAATATATATACATACATATATAAATATATATATATATAGGGTTCAGCCTCCTGATGAGTCGGTGAAACTCCGAGGAAATAGTTTGTCACAGCCCCTCGGTGTACTCTTTTTTTTTCTGCAGCCTATACCTCGGCCAAGTGCTGGTGGCTTAAAAAGAAAAGAAAAGGGGGAAAAAAAAGTGGTGAGGTTTGATTCATGCACCCTCACCTGTCCTCACCCGTCGTGCCCTTCCCACCTCCACCCCCTCCCCCCAAAAATGTCCAGATTCATGCCACCCGCCCATTGAAGCCAGAGTCGATTCATTGCTTCACTGCGCTGTTGGGATAGAAGCTCTACCCGACGATTGCTTTGACTGAGACCCTTTGTGTCCGGGATGGGACAACTAAAGTGACGGTTTGCCATACTGAAGTGTGAGCGTTCGTGTATTCTGCACGAAAAATGAAGTACTCATGGGGTTGCAATAGACCCCCCCAAAAAAAAGGAGGTCAATACCAACCCTTTGGAGTACTTGAGTTTTCTTTTCTTGTTTGAAGTGCGGCCAATCAAACTGAGTCTTTCTATTTCTTTTTTCCGCCTCCCAATCTTCACAAAGAAAAAGAAAATGAACAAAACCAAAACAAGAAGACAACTCCGAAATATAAATCCGTCGTGGTTTTGCTGCCATCCGATTTGCCTGCAACAATCTCACAGGTGTTTTGTGCGAACATTTTACACTTGTGTGCTAGTGGAACCGTGCCCCAGGCCAGGAGCAGATCTCAACAGCTCTCATGTCTCTTGTTAGGGGCTGCTTTACCCCCACAGAGAACTTTGTAGTCATTGGCGTCTGTATCTGACGCTCTTCGAGGACCAGATGCAGATGCTTTCTTTCTGCTCCAAAATAATAATAATAATAATAAATAAAGAGTGGCCACAACTCTGATCCGTACATGGCACAAACCGAACGAGGCTTGTACAGTTTCTCCAAGAAAACATCGTCTTGGAGAAACTGTACACACCTCCTTTGGTTTGTGCCATTTACCGGGACCGGGTCCCACATGGCCAGACTGTTCATTTGCGTCCGTTGATCTTCATAATCTACGGTTAGAAATCGGGGATTCAGGGCCTTGTTAGACCCTCCTTGGAAATCCCATTTTTAGGAAATCGGCATCGTTACACCGCGTCCTAATTCACCAAATTCCTTGAATGAATGTGAAAACGCTCCCGAGAGATTTCCTTGGATTCCTCAGGATCCCCAGCCAAAACGTCCTTGGATTCAAGGGGTCCTCGTGAGGTCCCTTGGGTTCAAGGAGCCGCGATTGACGGAGTGTTCTGGCGTGAGTGCCGACAGGAAAATTTGGAATCGATGTTGGTGCACAGGTCGTCCGTGGTCCATTGGGCGGACATCGCCGGCCTCCAGTACCCGACGGGCCCTCAACGGCCTTCCACCGTTACCGTTGGCGTGGACATATGTGGGGGTGGTTCTTCAGCTGCAAGGCGCTTCACGAAGCAGGGTTTTCCATGCGCGCGTCGCCAGCCGTGGTGACCAACAGTCGAAATTTTTTATTTGTCTACAAGCGATGTTGAAGCACTGTTGGTCGATTGCAGGCATCTGCCTAGCGTGTTTTGTCGGCTATTGTCGGGCGCATTTATGCAAGCTTTGTTTGGTGCACGCCTCACATGCTGCGATTCATGGCAGATGTCCTCCGGTGGTTCCCGCTCATGCTGCTGGCCACTCTTCTCCTGCTCCTTGCCGTGTTGTTCCACCTGTGCGTTGTTGTGCGGGGTCCTGGCAGCAGACAAAAACGAAGAACGGTGAGGAAGACGGCGATGGACAGGCGGGAAACCTCCAGCAGACAGCCGATGGGCACCATTGACTATTCCACTCCGCAGCTTTTCCTTGTAGTAGCCCTCCACCGCGTCGTCAACCTGTCGGAGATCCTCCCATGTCCCTCCCATCCTTCTCCTCATCCACCATCTCGGCGTCGCCCGGGGGATCACACCCGATGCCATGACACAACAAAATTGCGCAATGGATTCCGATAACGACACACAATCCGGTGCATCCATCACTTGTTGCACCAGCTGCCTCTGCCTGCGAACGGACAATCTCATCCTCGGGCGAGTTGTCATTCTCTCAATGCGATAACGCATGGCGACGACTGACACAGCTGCGACCACCGTGTTTCTCTCCAATGCCGTTAATGCCTTCATACCACCCGGGAGCTCTCGTTCCATCATCAGGACTTGCAATGCGCAAGCACCCACCACCCATTCGCCTGCCGGCGCCCTCGCTGCACCTTCTGCACGTCGATGGGGACCCTGCTAGCACTCTCCCCGTTTCACAGAAGTGTTCAGTTCGCGCTAAGCTGTGACGGCCCGAAGAGCATGCAGAACACGAAGGCGACGTCGCATACATGCTACATCCCCCAATGTTCCAATTCCCTCCTTTTAAGCCATGGCCGCCATCACTCCTTTGCACAGACATTTCGCCCCAGTCTCCAGTCCAGCCACCAGGACACCTCACGCACGGATGTGTCACAACGGAGGCTTCAAAATTTGAAATTGGAACGGGGATGTTGGCGCCCTTTTTCTTCGTCAGCCCGATAGGCATCACCGCCACTGCCACTGGACCACGCCCGAGGGCGCATGACATCCCAGCACGATGACGGACATCCACCCCCACGGCCGCGTGTATGCGTATGAAATTGGCCGCTGGAGACCTCGCCCGAGGGCGCACGACATCCCAGCACGGTGACGGACATCCACCCCCACGGCCGCGTGTATGCGTATGAAATTGGCCACTGGAGACCTCCAAGGGTTTTCCTTGAAACCCATTGAATTAGGACGCGGTGTAATGACGATGCCGAAAACCGGAAAATTTTCCAAGGACTTCATCCTAATTCCTGAGGATTTTCCAAGGTGGCTCTAACAAGGCCCTCAGTTACGTGGAACTTGGCCCCGACGGATCAGGCTTGCAGCAACTCGTCTTATTCGAGACAGCCAGCTCAAGACGGTCATTGGGTTGGCTGTCTCGAAAAAAGGAGACAGCTAACTCAACGGAAAGTGGCAAGGGTAGGGGGCGTAGTATTTCAAGAAAAAAGGATTAACTTTTTTTTTTTTTTTTAATATATATTTATGAAACCACTTACTTCTGGTATTTGTTGTAAGAAAAAGCGAAGGGGATCTCTATCGCCTTCTTTCTTAAACCACCAGTACTTGGCCCAGCTATCGATGCCGAGCCTGAAAACGGGCTGCACGCCGTTTCGTGCCGACCCGCCAGCGCAACAAAAAAAACTTGTTTTGGCTGGCGCCGCCAGCCTGGTACCCCGAGCCTCCGGAAGTTGCGGGGCGTTACGGCAAAACGCCCCGCGGCCGATATATGGGCCAAGTACTCGTGGTTTAAAAACGGACGCCGGCTAGATCACTTGGACTACGTGCATATCTGTGTAGTGGTACCCTACAGTCACACAGCGTAGAAAACTAAACGTAGACCTAGCTCAACGGCGATAGTGGGCCATGGTCCCAGGGACCTTGTCCCACCTGTACCGTTGAGTTGAGCCAACTAGCTCAACGGTGTGACAGCATTAGATGCCT